CTTAGTAACATTATTGGGCACGGCCATTCCCAGTGACAGCTCTACATGCATGGCCTTATTTTTAATATTTGGCTTCATCACACTGTCAATGCATCAAATAAGGAATGTCTTGCAATTCGACTACCCTCTTCAAGTGACTGGTAAGGCGAGCCTTACAGCTCGCCCTTGAGAGCCATGTGACCTCAGGTCACTCCTACATCCTGGCCCTCTGGATCTGGCCCTGCTCGGTAGGCATGACATTCTGCCAGGTGCGTCGACACTACTGGATGCCATATATATTTAAAATACCCTGGCTAGGCTTAATTCTGGGATCATTTTTTTGTTTCGTTCTGCACTCTTCTGTGGCGGAAAGTTTGTCACGTGCGTTAAGGAATTCTGGAACCAATGTCAATGTTCCATAGTGTTTGGTAAATAATTCACATTTGTGGTGAACCAGTTAGTTTTAGGTTGCCTTAAATTTGTGATAAAGTTATTGGTAAGGGTAGTGATCTAATTATAGTATTGACGTAGCTTTAATGTTACGGTAGCCTATCCTATATGTTATAATACATGGTCATGACAGATTATTTCTTATTCCCTATTTCAAAAATACAGTATGATAATAATAATAAAAAGCAAGAATAAATGTGTGTTCCGAACCTTAATGGAATCTGACCCATATATCAATCAGGTCAACCCATGTGTTGCGTTTCCAAAAGGGTCGCCCATGTTAGAATCGGTGAACGCCCTAGTAATATTGTTGAAAACATCTTAATAACTTATTAAACCAAAGGTCTTTTTATGTCAGAAGAACGGCAGAAACTGGATCTATATATGAAAACTCTTTCAGGACAAAATTTAAAGTAAAACTAAAGATATTTGTAGTTGTATAAAAGTTGCATTTTTCATCGGTCGTAGAGCCGGAAATCCGCAATATTCATCTCAGAACAATGCTTATTTCACGCAGAATCGTTAATAAACGTAAGATTTTTATACGTCTCAAGAAAGATAGAAACATAATCTTCATTTTAAATGCCTTACCATGGGCATATTTGTATTTAAAGCGAAGATACGTGTATTTTTCTAATCGGCGAGCTCCGATCCCGCACAGATCGAGCAACGGAGTAACTCTCTCTCAGAACAATGCTTATTTCACGTAAATTCGTTAATAAACGCAAATGTTTTTATATGTGTTGAGAAAGATAGAAATATAAGCTTCATTTTAAATACTTTACCATAGATATATATAAAGTTCTAATGAAGATACATGTGTTTTAATAATCGCCGAGCTCCGACCCCGCACAGACTGATCGACAGAGCAACTCTCTCTCAGAACAATGCTTATTTCACGTAAATTCATTAATAAACACATATGTTTTATATGTCTCAAGAAAGATAGAAATATAAGCTTCATTTTAAATACTTTAACATAGACATATATAAAGCTCAAGTGAAGATACATACGTTTTTATAGTGGCATTCAGTAGCTTGTCGGTCATGGAATGCAGAAGCCTACGCACTTGCCAATATAGTGTGTAATTAACAAAGATACGCTTATAAAGCCTAAAATATTATATGCCTTCAGAAAGACAGAGATATGCTCGTTATTGTGAGTGCACCAAAGGAAATATATCTTGTTGGAGGACAAAGATATATCAATTCTAAAATAAGTTTCGACTCTCGCTCGGGCGAGAGATAGCGCGACTCTCGCCCCATCTATTGGAGATTCTGTTCACCTAATGACCCAAAGCTACTCAAAGCCTCCTAGCATTACTTAAATAATGAAGAAATATGGTATATTTATTCACTATAATGTTGGTGCTTAATGCAGAACACGAGAAAACATATATTTACTATAAAATAATATACTTCCATTATGAAATAAGTAAATATGTGGCCTCATAGGAAGTCAACGGTCCAGGTGTCAATGTTGTGGAGCGACTTATCCAAGATATATTGTTGTCTGGAAAGTGTTTGTTGGCATATCAACCTTCTGTACACAGTGATCCAGTCGTCGCACTTCTCTCCTTAAATGATCGCAAATTTAGCTTATTATATTAACAAGTAGAATACGTATTTCTAATAAAATCTAACATAACTAGCCAGAAAATATTTAAGACTTATTGAAAAATACATGTCTGGAAGTTAAATCGACTTCATAGAACAATAGTGTTGGTCAATACTAATCGTTATTCGTTAGTATGCGTTCGCTACTTAAAACATTTACTGTACTGATGTAAAATCTCCCATATCTCTTCGCACATGGAACACCGAACCTTACACACTCTCTGATATATTGTTTAATTAATAGAGATTCACTAATAAAGCTTATAATTGTATATGTTATCAAAAAGGCATAGATAAAGTCGTTCTTACGTTTTAGTCACAGAGATTAGATATTAGTAAAGTTCATTTTATTCAGGAAAGTACATAAATAGTCGATTTACAAACATAATATTGGATTTATAGATAGAACTAGTACATACAATACCTAAAGCCACTAGTACGCATAGCGTTTCGGGCATATTATTGAGAGAGGAAAGATATTTATATTCAAACAATTTTTTTTTTTTAACCGACGCTCTCCCTATTGATGAGAACTACAACCTAATGAAGATAAATGTTAATTTTATGTAGATACTGTAATAAACGAAAGTTTTTAATGTCATTAGAGAAGCAGAAATATAGGCAAATTTTAAATCCCTTGTCATAAATATAAGTGAAGTGAAAGCAAAGATATATGCATTTTGATAGTTACAAAGACAGCTCTTTAACACGGGTGGAACACGAACAAGGGGAACTTAGTACCCAAATGAGCCACAGAGATATTAGAAAGAATTTTTTCAGTGTCAGAGTAGTTAACAAATGGAATGTATTAAGCAGTGATGTGGTGGAGGCTGACTCCATACACAATTTCAAATGTAGATGTGATAGAGCCCAATAGGCTCAGGAACCTGTACACCTGTTGATTGCCGGTTGAGAGTCGGGACCAAAGAACCAAAGCTCAACCCCTGCAAGCACAAATTAGGTGAGTACAACTAGGTGAATACAGCTGAGGGGCGGGACCAAACAGGTGAAGCTCAATTCCCTACGCATAACTAGGCGAGTCCATAGGAATTACCGTTTGTCCTGGCGCCATCTATGTTTTGACAGCAGTACTACTAATGTTCCCACGTTATATGATGATCGCTATACGGGTGTTACGGTCAGTTGCTCTTCTATATATATTTATGGACAACGTAGGTGATTTGAGGCAATTTGCGGCCAGAGTGAAATAGTATCCACCCGGTGAGTGATGGAGGAGGATATATACTGCTGTGTACTCGACCAGCGGGTGAGAGGTAAGTTATATCGAACAATTATGGGGAATAGATGGGTTATTTTAAGCGTAGAATGTCAGGTAACCGGTAACTACACAGATGGGGTAGTGTTTTTTTAAGTCTTTATTTACTAAAGTGGAACATTACATAATGCCTTTAGCTGAACAAGTCGACTGGTGGGGGAAGTAGACGGGTTTTATGAAAGTATTTTACCTAAATATTTGTATTTGGTTAACTAGTTCCTCCGTTACAAGGGGAGGGTGTTCCTTTAATCTAATCTTAAAAATTCTAGCCGGACAAAGTGATTGATTAAATAAAGAAATTGAATGGAACGAAGTGGTTTGCCAGGGTGCTTAACATTTAGTTTAGTTCACTTACTATGCAGCCCATGCTTAAAGAATGAAAGTTTATCATATTGAATTTACCGTAGTTTTAGTGCATTTAATATACAGTTTTTACCCTATTTAATTATGTCGGGTGAAGGCCGGTCGTGGAAAGTTCCTAATATAGCAAGTTTTAAAGGAAAAGTTTGAGTTAACTTTAACGCTTAAATTAGTGACCAATTAGCTTAGTCTATTGTGAGGAAAGTTACTAGAATCTAACATTGCAAGTGCCATTTCTCTACTCTTTTTGAGAAACATGACTAGATACATGAATCGCATAGTTTTATTACTAAATGCTCATGGATTAGGTTGCATAGTTGAGGAAATGGCGATAAGGTTTGTGATTTTGTGTACCTTGACTTCAGCAGATTTTGAAAGTGGCGCAAAATTGCTAGGGGCTCGGATCATTGGGAATGCTGACTGAAGTTGATTAGGTCATGGCTATACCAAAGGAAATTAGTATAAATGGGGTTAAGTTGGGAGAAGTGTTGTAAGTAGTGCCTAAAAGCTCTCCTTGGACCTCGGTTATTTGCAAGATTATGGTTTAGACTGCAATAGTTGCAGAATTGGCAAATGAAAAATACCAATGCCCTATATAGTTTTGAAATGGTTAAGACTACCAGATGCAGTTTAATGCTGACAAATGTAAGGTTTGGGGGCTAGGTAAAGATGAGATGGATATTGTAGATTGTTAAGAGTATTAAATTTTTTGCAGGTGGTAAATTCTCCCCGAGCTGGCACACACTGTAATCTCCCAAAGTTCTTCACCGATTGCTTTGAAACTGACACAACGTTACATTCGAATATGGGTATCTTTTCATATACCTACTATATAGATGCCACCCCTGTGACAGGTAAAAAAAATATTCATTTTTGAAAAAGGGCACCATCTGTTGCACATATCAACATGCTAACTATACTGTCAAATTCCATTTAAATTTTTCAGATTGCATTGATATAATTAAATAAATCTAAAGGTTTGAAAATAAATTTTAAGTTTTGTGACATTGTGGAGATAGAGCTGTTTACCATACCATTCATTTTGTAGGTATAAATATAGATGCCACACCTGTTATAGGTAAAACTATGCTTTGAAAAAATCCTGTTCTAAGCAGAAACTATGCTTTTGTTGAAAAAAGTGAATTGCATTAAAAATGAGCCATGTTTACCATACTGTTCATTTCGTGAGTACTTTATTTTTGTTACTTTTCATTTCATTTTTAACTTATTTTGATGAACATCAGATCACTTGATGTTCCAAGTTTTCTGATCAGGAAAATCACACAATATGGGAAGGCATTAGACGAGGGAGTTGGGAATGGTGGGGATAGCAAGGGGACGGAAGTGAGAGAATGGGGAGGACAAAGGGAAGAGGGAGGGAGTAATGGTGGAAGGATGAGGGGATAGGGAAATGGAGAACGGTTGGAAGAGAGGATGAGGGGGGGGAAGACTGGGGGACAGAAGGTTGCTGTGGCTCGGCAACGCACATGCGTTGCCGAGCCACGGCACTGCGTGGCCAGGTTCTGCTAGTTTGTTAAAAAAAATTTGAAGTTTAAATAGGCTTTTTCTTTCAGAATATGGATTGGAAGTGCAGAACTTCATCCTAGACTTTGAAGGTGTTGATTGTTTGACATTCAGAATCGGGCAAGTGGTAAATATTATTTAAACATGTTTGCATTGTATTAAAAATTTAGTTTTAAACACTCTAGCATTATGGCTAAAGATCATGTAAATGATGGCTGCATGTAGATGTGAAGTCAAAATTGCTAAAAGTCTGAAGTATCTTTCTCCACTTTAATGTACTCATGACTACTCAAACTATTTGTTTAATACAGAATCTAATTTTTGTGCTTGATTAGCATTAGTGAGAATCTTACACTATTAACATTTTGGTAGATTTTAAAGGAACATTATCCATTGTAAATTTGCAAAGCAACTTGCATAAGCTCAATACAGAATTTAGAAGCCAATTTGGTTAAATGTTTCAGGTTCTAATGAAGATTACAATGGTATCAAAGCAGTGACTGGCTAAAGTGTGGCTGTTCTAATATGCACATCTATGAAGCTGGTAAGTTGACTTGCATGTTGGCTATATAAATTGTAGTACAAATATAGGGGGGGGGGGTGGAATCCTAACTATAAATGTTTTTTGAAAATACAATTTTTTGTAGTCTTTAATTTTTACTAAAGAGATTTCTTCTGTAATTTATAAAATGAGATAGGGTGGGGAAGTAGCTAATTAATGTTTTAAAAAGGCGCATATTGAATTTTAAATACATTGCTGTGCCCAAAAAATTTAGTAACAATATTTAATGTTCCATTGACAGGTTGTAGAGGGTCCTTCCAACATAACCTCAGGAACTGTGTACAAAGCAATTGCTGAAAGTAACATGGTTGTCAGAATTAGATGGCAAAAGTAAGTTTATTGATGATTAGTTTAATAGTTTTTAAATATTAAAGTAAAAATTATGTAATTGTGAAGTGGCCTGTAAATAGAAAATAAACTAGTTCTAGGCCTTAAAGTGGGTACAATATCAGTTTAGTTGTTGCAGGAATTGCTTTGCATAGCATAACAAGAATTGTAATTTTAAATAGAATAAAATTTGAAGTAGAGTATTTATAATAAATATTTATAAATTAGTCTGCTTAACTTTCAGTGTTCAGTTAATTGTTTGGCTAAAAGTTTGAAATTTATAGATGAAAGTGTGATGCATAAAATGAACAAATCTAAAAGGGCTGTGACAATTAGGATGTTGGAGGATTGCTGATGCACCTTAATCGACTGTGCCATGATATGGTAAAATTGCAACTGGGAGGTCTACTGACCTCATGGCTTGGTTTGAACCCTCATGGATTTGTTCATATAAATGTTTGTAACAGATAATTTCATAATTGAAAGTAAAAAAAGTTAACACAATAAATAACTGGTAACTGTACTTCATCTAATTGTAATATAATTGAAGTTTAAATATGCTTTTTCTTTCAGACTATAGATTAGGAAGTCCAGAACAACATCCCAGAGTTTGAAGGTGGTGTATGCTCGACATTCAGAATCAGGCGAGTGTGGTAGTAATAATAAATTAAAGATTTGCATTATATATTAAATAGTAAAGTTAAACAATGTAGCATTGTCTGAAGTATCTTAATCCACTTAAATGTACTAAAGAAACTTAGCTTAAATAGCCATATCTACCTTTTTAATTGCTTGATTAGCATTAATAAAATATAAAATTTTAGCCAATTTTAAAGGAACACTACCATTGTGAATTTGCAAAGAAACTAGAGTAAAAAGCTGTATTTCTAAGCTAATTTGGTTAAATGTTTCAGGTACTTTGCTAGATTACAATGGTATCAAAGCAGCGAGTGGCTGTTCTACTCGGCACATCTATGAAGCTGGTATGTTGAATTAAATGTTTTAGCTATATAAATTGTATTACCAATATGGGGATGCAGGGGTGGGGGAATCCTAACTTTAAATTATAATTGAAAATAAGATTTCAGTGCTACTTTTTAAATTGTTACCAAATTGTTACTAAAAGGGCTTTTTTCTAGAATCAATAAATGAAAGATGGGGTGGGGGAAGTAGGTAATTAGTGTATTTTGAAAAAGGCAAATATTTAAGTTTAAACATTGCTGTGGGGAAAAATTTTATTAACCATATTAAATGTTTCATTGACAGGTTGTGGAGGGTGCTTCCAACATAACTTCAGGAACAGTGTACAGAACAATTGGTGGAACTTGTATGCTACAGAAAGTAGCACAGGGGCTGGCCAGCTGAGCAGACGGCACACTGGAGATGTGATCCTGTGGTCCCAGGTTGAATCCTGGCAAGAAATGGTGGGCCGAGTTTTTCACCCTATGCCCCTGTGAGTAGTGTTCCTTTAAAATTGGCAGCCCATTACAGTCAGCTGTAATGGGCTGCTTTGTGGGGGGGACTAAAGGCCTGAAATTGCCAAGATACTTTTGCCCTCTATCATTCTGACAGTTAAGAGTACTGCTATAATTAGTTTAATAAGTAGTATTTAAATAGTGAAGTGGCCTGGAAATGGGGGATAAAAACTGTAGTTCTAGGCCTTGACAAGTGGGTACAATAAAAGTTTAGTCCTTGCAGGAATTGTTTTGAATAGCAAAGAAATTTAAATGGTAATGTTACATTTTATTCAATGTAAGAATTGAGGGTATTTAAAAATATTTATTTAAATGGTAATTGGTTTGCTTAACTTTGTTCAGTTACTTGGCTAAAAGTTTTTCCATCTATAAATTGCACACAATAGTGTGATGCATCAAATGACCAAATCCACAAGGGCTGTGATGAGGGTTCAAATGTCCCATGACATTGTAAAAAAATTTCAACAGGGAGGTAAATTGACCTCATGGATTTGTTCATAATAAAGTTAAAAGAGACAAATTAAATATTGACTAGTAACTGTATTTCATATTTTTTTAATGTAACTAGTTTAAATAGGCTTTTTCTTTCAGAATAAGAATTGGGAAGTCCAGCTGTTCATCCTAGAGTTTGAAGGTGTTGATTGCTTGATATTTGGAATGGGGTGAGTGTTGGTGAATATTTTAAATAGATAAATAAGTAAGGCATCAGTGGTTGCATGTAGATAATGTAAAGTAAAAATTCTTTCTATACTTTAAAGTACTTGTTAAACTTAAATAGTGTGAGTAGCCATATCTAAGTCTTGTGCTTGATTAGCATTAGTGAGAATAAAATGTTAAGGCACATTAGCCATTTGAGTTTGCAAAGCAACTTTTAATACAAAATTTATAAGCTAATTTGGTTAAATGTTTCAGGTGGTAATAGAGATTATGATGGTATCAAGGAATTGACTGGCTTAAGAAGTGTGGCTGTTCTACTCTGCACACCCAATAAACTGGTATGTTGAATTAAATGTTTTAGCTATATCAAATAATTAAGTTGCTTTCTTTTATCTAGTCCATTTATAGATGTGTACCAAAGTCCTACTGTTACCACCTGCAGGGATTGATGCAGTTTGTACTGATCCTACCCCATTTCATAGAAGGGGACCAGGCAGTCTTGCAGATTTCCCTGGCTTGGCTTTTTCAGAGCCCTGCTCTACTACCTATCTGATAGATGGACTAGATTTGCTTAGGTGTAGGGACCCTTAACAATGTGCAAACATTGTTAATAACTACAGGGCTTGTTCACGGAAAGAGTGGATACATCCAGAGGTTTAGTGCCTGGAACATGATGTACATAGGCTTTACAACAAGCTTATGTACATCATGTTGAGGGCATGAAACCAAAAGATGTGTTGCACTCTTTCAGCCAACAAGTCCTGCCTGAAAATGCAAGTAAGGGGTAGGCCTTGCTGAGCCAATCTTAAATGATTGGGACTTAGGGGTTTTGGCAGTAATTTGTATGTGTTAGTGTTAATAAAATGAGTGTCCCTGTTTGATATACTTTATTTTTCTTTAACAGGTGGTTGTTGTCCTTGGTACTCTGGATGTTTTCCTGGCCTTTGAAGGTGTTTGGAGTCTTCAGTTGAAACCTCAACCTGAAACAAAATTGTCAACATTAGTTATATTGTATACTATTTAATAAATCTTTTAATGAAAATACTTTATATATTTTATCCTGAAAGTAGCTATAATTTAATCATGCTGGAAATTAATATTACAAACAATATCTAAAAAAAAAAACTTGCTATAAGAGTTTATATAAAACTATAATAAACATATTATAAAGGTATAATACAAAATATATAAAGCTAATATATTATAGCTTTATAATTAACAAACTTAAGTTTATAAGTATATATAACAGTTATAATAAACTTTGTTATATAAAGTTTGTTATAACTTATGTTAATTAACTTATAAACTTAAGGTAAAATATAAAGCTAATAAAAACTTAAGTAACAAGTTATATATAAAAAGGTAATATTATACCTCTAAGCAACATTATATTTTATAAGTGAAAACTAATTTTGACAACTAAAAAGTCTAGTTTGGTATGCAAAGCTTTTAAGTTATCAGGTTAAACTGCAAAAAGATAAATTTTAGGCATTATTTTAATAGATTAAATTAACTATACATTTGTTTTAAAAGTGAAATTTGTTAGACTAAAGTTAAAGCTATGGAACATATTGATTAGTGGAAATGATGTAAAAATTTACATCAATGATAAGATTACACTAAATTAGCTAATTTTTTTTTCCCCACAAGTGTCTTACTAAATGCCACAACTTTATAGGAAACATGAAAGTGTTTCCTAACAATATTGTCTAATGGTACCAAACCCTTCAATTTTCTAAGAAGAAAAGAAACAAAACCATTAGACATGTCCAATCTGTTAATATAATGCTGCACTCAAGTGTCCTACCAAATATTAGTAATGAACACTAAATTATTCACACCAGACATCCCATTACCACAAATGTTTCAAACTGCTGAAGATAACTATTTCAAGATAGTGTATATATACACTATCTGCCTATAACAAGCACCATAAATGGGAAGAGCCTTACAAACTAACATTCAAAAAACTTCAAATACCTGGAATTCAATCCAAGCTATTAAATGAATTGACAGCCAAACTTACTGCCACTTAAACTCGCTAGATAGATTTCAAATGTTACTTAAATTTTGGAAACTGCCAAGCAGAAAACTTTCAAATTACTTTGACCTCACATCTGCAAGGTCCTGAAGGGAAGAAACATTAATAATTCTTGTAAAATCAACAAAACATTGGTTTGTTAAAAACAAACCTGTTCACATTTTTTTTCTGATAACCAGCTATTCAGCACCATAAAGGCTACGAGTGAAAAATGAAGCACATGGAATAAAGGATAAAAAGATTGCTTAATTAAAGCTTCTTCTGAAACAGATTTGACTGGAAAATACGGCATGAAGCATACCACAAGGGTCTAAACCTTATATACCTCAATGACAAATCAAATTATTACAAACCACACCAAGATTTATGGTACAGAGAACATGAAAAAATATCAAGCCGTTACAAAGATCTATGGGAACTCTAAAAATGGTTACAAGACTGGCAAATTCTTATTATTATAAGAATTTGCAATGTATTTAACATTGCCAAACCTTACAGGTGACCCAGAACAATCCATATCACAACTACCACATTAAAATGAAGAAGAACAATGAAATAAAGGACCTTGGAGCTAGATTACATCATTAACCAAAAGTTGCTCCAGTAAACAAAAATTACTAACAAAACCCTACAATTAATCAAGCGACCTTTTGACTTTAACGAAAAGAAGGTAGTTATTCTAATGTCAAAACATTTATACACCAGATATCTATAATCACTTAGATAATTGTACCCAACCATGAAGAACCCCCACCTTCTTTACAAAAACACATCTACTTTCAAACAACAACACTGCCCAACACAAATATTTCTAAAACTAAGTCGACTAATACTAGGAACAACTGAAGGCCACGACAAACACTGCAACTCTCTCCTACCCCCAAGTCTTATGCTATTAATGATCCATTTTATTTTGACATACTTCCTACAGACGAGACCAGAGACAGGACGATCTAGTGAGTAAACTGAAGCACGATACAGGTGTCAACGGACATCAGTCAGCCCACTTGTCACCACAGTGGATAAACTAATAACATTATAACCTGCAATTTTGTATGACTCCCTGTGGCCATTTAAATCAATAAAACCCAGGGTTGTGGCAATGTTTATAGCATAAGGTAAGGTATACAGGAATGCCTGGTAATGTCTAGTCCTTGTATGTGCTTTAGGCAAACAAACTGAACAACAACATTGCTCGTGTTATACTATTTTATCCGAGTTTCTCATTCGGTACAACCTTTTAAACCCAAATAGGAATGCGCTTTAAAGATCCATTTATTTGGAGATTCTACTTACACAATCTAAATTACCGGTCTCTGAAAGTACTACGAGATAAGTTTAACTAGATGAGTGTTTGCCTATCCACACCCACATGAGGTATGTGACAACACTGAATAAAGAAAGGGGCTTTGAGCATTCAGCATGCAACAATTGGACATGACATAACCAATATAGCCAGGTCATACCTACCCC